CTGCCTGCACTGCCCTGCCCTGTCTGCACTGCCTGCACTGCCCTGCCCTGTCTGCACTGCCTGCACTGCCCTGCCCTCCCCTGCCTGCACTGCCCTGCCCTGCCTGCCCTGCCTGCACTGCCCTGCTCTGCCCTGCCTGCACTGCCCTGCCTGCCCTACCTGCACAGCCCTGCCTTGCCTGCCCAGCCTTTCTTGTGGGCATGACCTTACAATTTCCTTCTCTGTTTAACTACAGTGCATGACCGTGTTACAACTAATGATAAGAAACACCACTGCCCTCCCTCCAGTCTAATCTGAGAAATTAATTCCCCTTTTTATCAAGTCAGACTGGGTATGACTGCAGCAGCACGAGTCTCCCACCTGCCCCCCACCAGCGTGTGCCTACACCTAAGGGGGAAAAGAGTGCTGCCCTTGAGGCAGCAGACTGAGGATCAGCCCTTGGCTTGCTTTCCCCTTGCCTTCCCTACGGCTCAGTGCAACAATACTGGATACGTAGATATTTGCAGGAGGGACAGTGAGAGCTATACAAACGGCTCCCCTTTATTTGTGATGTTCTGTAGCCTCCCCAGTGTGACTCATGTGGTGCTCCCCCTACGTACATGGTACACTGTCAACTCCCATTTCTTGACCTCATCTGCAAAGTAGCTAGAAAAGAGGCAGTGTGAAATAGGCTGCTGATGCTGGAATGATGCCTCTGGGCTTCAGCCCACGCTCAAGAGGTGTGAGGAAAGGAGACTGCTCAGATGAGACCATGGGCTAGAGAGATAGTCCTGGACAGGGTGTACAGAGCCCCCGGAGCTGTAGGCCAAACGAGCATTGCAGTGCTACCCCGTAGACTTAGACTCGAGCGCACCATAGCATGCCCTTCTGCCACTTACTTTGCATTTGCCAACTTACAGAACAAAATTTATTTTTATTTTTGTTGCTTGACAAGGACAGAGAGAGAAAAGAGTTCATCTTCCAGGGCTTCTTTTGGACCTACATTTCATTGGCAAGTATTTCCAAGGGCAAAAGTTGAGGTTATTCTCAGCTACAGAAAATCTCACCATTTCCACAATTAAAATAAAAAAAATTGAAACTTCTGCTGGTGGAAAAAATGCTCAAAAATACTGAATTGAGATGGGAAAACTTAATATTTGTATTACAAAAAAAAAATTCCTGCATAGAACTTCTTTCACACTTTCCTTATGCCCTCAATCATGAAATCACCAGGAAATATACCATATAGAGGAAAAAAATAACCCCCAAACCCTCCCATTTTCAATCTCAACATAGGGTTGCTACTGTACAATTTTGAGAACAGTGCATTGCAGGACACCCCATAGGAAAATCCCGCTAGGGCTCCTCTGACTTGTCCCCTCTGTTACTGTGCAATACATTCTACCTCCTTGCCTATCTTAGCCCCAGTTGTCCCTGGAGATTTCAAAGATCCAGGCTAATGGGTCACCTGAAGGATCCGATACTAGGCATGAAACAATTCCCCTTTATACATGCAGTGTATCCTCTGTCTTTTATGAATAGCAGTTAACCTGTGAAGTCATTTGTTTGCTGCCAGATAGTGGGAACAGAGATAGTGGGTCAGCATGAGCCAATCTGTAAAACAGATGCAACTCCTGCCTATTCTTTGGTAAGACAAGTGAAGCATCTTATTTTTAAACATATCTTTGGCTGCTCCTGCACAGTTGTTCTGTCTGAACAATGTTCGTGGGATGAATGGAGGAATCAAAGATGTAGTAACATTTTGATTGTTCCTATGATATATTTCCTGAGTTCTTTCCCTCCTTCTTTGATTTTTTTTTTTTTTTCCCCATGCAGGAAAGTGGTTGAGCTGCCTAAGAGACGGTTTGGAGTTCCTCTTGACCGGATTGGAGTGAGCCGTCTTGGCAACACCAAGGGTTAGCAGTTCCTGCAAGTAAGCCAAAGTACTCCGGGTGTGGGTGGCTCGGAGAACCCCACCTGTTCTCAGTTACATGGAGGTACTCAAGTCATGCCAGTAGTCTTGGAAAGAGTGGCTTCGGAAATGATGTCTTAGAACATGGACTGTGACTGCCAAGTTAGCTCGAATGCCCTAAATTACAACTTAGTTCCTTCCCCCCTACAAGAAACCAAGTTTTCCTAACATTTTAATCTCCTGTAGACCACCTTACAGTGTGTTTGTCCAAGCCTTGCATTTCTGACATGGGAAAATGTAATGTTTACTGCTTCTCTGCCTACAGGTGCTTCTGTTCTGAATGATTGATGCTGTATTGGAAACATTGCAGAAATACAGAAGATGCATCACAGAATGTCTTGTCATTGACTAATGATACAACACTCAAGGAATTGATCTCCTGCAAATCTGTTTCACGTTGCATTTTACTAATGTTGCATTTACAAATAATAACAAATTCAATTCATCAGGTCGGAATGCTCTCACAGTTGTGCACGGTGTCACTGATATGAGGGAACAGAAAATATGTATATAGTTTAATTGCATGGCATTTATTTCTTAAACTTGCTTTATCCTAGCAAGGACTGTTGGATTTTTTTGGATTGAAAATAAAACTTCCAGAGATGCCAACAGCAGTTCATGAAAAGCAGACAGTTTGCTTTGCACGTTTCTTTCAAGAGGGTGTTTGTTTGGTAGATGAAGGGAGGATTTAACAGTTACGGGACAAACCTAGAATTTATTTGAGCTGTTGTTCAGGAGAAGATGTCTGCTGACTTCACTAGGAGTTAGTCTGAACGACAACAGTGACAATACTTTAGTATTCATCCTGATGTTTTTAATAGTCTTTCTCTTATCTCTGTACCATATATAGACATGTTTTCATCATATGGCAGATCCTGAAATGTGGCGAGACTTCTAGTTTCCTCCTCTAAGCTGATGAATGCATTTCACTCATCCCTATGCATAACATAGGATAGCATCCAAATATGAAGTCATCTACTTCCAAGGCCATCTGCATCATATGCCTTATTTTAGCCTCTTGATGTGTGCATGGGGCATGACCAGACATCCAGCTCTAAAAGTTCAAGTATTTCTCACTCTGGTAAAATGTAAACATGTCCTCTCCACTTCATTTCAAAGTAAAACAGGCTATCTTAAATCCAGTTTCATGATTTTAACTTCTTTCCAGATTATAAAATATAGCTGAAAAGAGATGTTTGCTGACATCCCAATGCTCAGATTCCTTGCTGATGTTTTCTAAACCTCACGTGCTCCTTCTTGGGCTTTGGTCCATGTCGAGCTAAATTCCTTGCATTTTATTCTTGGGTATAAATCATCCTTAGCATTGCAAAAGAAGATCCATTGAGAAAGGGATTATGACTGTGGACTAAATCCTATTCTAGGACTAAGAAAGAAAAGTAATTCTTGCACACACCCTGTGTTAGGCAGAGAGTAAGGCTGGAGATAGGAATTAAGTGTTAATTTCCTAATGTTGTATGAGGCACAAAGCACCTGACCATCAGCTAGCAAAATGGGGAAAAATACAGTCAGCTTCTCAGTCAGCTACAGGAAAGGAGTTGGGAAGACAATGAGTCTCTGAAACTATAGCTGTTGTGAGGATTTGGACTTCAGGGCAATTGTGGGAGATGAGGCTCCCGTTCAGAAGGGCAGGTAGCATCCAGTTCATGTCTGAGAGGGGACAGTGCTCAGCCATAGCATCTGGCTTACAGCCCTACCCTGAAACCAGGATTGGCCCAGCCGCAGAATGTTTGGAAGGAACTTTGCTTTTCTTGACATCTTCAGTATAAGCTAATGCTGCTCATAGCAGCTGCATAAACCATTGAATCACATCAAGAGGTGCCCCCATCTTTCCCATCAAGCAGTCTTTAGCTGAGTTAGGTGATCATTCCTCCTTTGGTGGGTGAGTTGCCGGTACCTGTGAAGCACTGCAAGATGCTTTCCAGACCAAGCTCTTGAAAGTCATTGAAATAAAGAAGGGGTTTAAATCCATATGTGGTGATCTTAGGGTTTTGCTCTGTGCTTTTCCCCTAGTCCCGCTGCCTTTGAGCTTGCAGGTGAAGGATCTGGGAGCTGGATTGAGTGGATGCATATAGACTGGCAGATTTGAGAGAAGATTTACTGTCCATGCTAGAAACAAGACTGCAAATGCTGTCCCAGACAAGCCCAGACCCCGTCCTCTGCAGTGCGCTGCCACCACCTATGCTGAGCTCACTCTGCGGTTTAGTAAACAGTTATCTTCCTGCACAGAGCTCACCCAGACAGTCTGCAGATAATCTGCTTGCAAGGTAGCCATATGTATGGGGGGCATGGGCAGATTATGGAAGTGATGACCTGGCCACTCGTACAGCTGTCTGTCAAAAGCAGCATGGACAGAGTCATTGTGTGACACGTTTTGAGAGACTCAGATGAGAGCAATCCAGCGCTAACACAGCGGCTTTGTGAAGAGACTGCTGGATTGTAAAAGTATTTAACAGTTGTCAGGTATTAGCCCAGGGTTTCTAAATAAAGAGGGTTTATAAAGCCTGCCAGTTGTGTGCAGAAATACCTTCCATCTGAAGCGTGATGGGAGAGCAAAGCAGGACAGAGGTGTCTGTGGTGGTGTTGCTTGGAAGCTTCAGCCCTGCTCTTGGCTCCCACCTCACTGCACGGTTTAGTTGGGAGAAAGAAACAGCCTTTCTGTTCCTCGGCCTCATCCACCACAGAACATACTGAGACGTCCTCTGGCTCAAAAAGCACTCTTTCAAATCCATAAATTGGCAGGTGCTGTTTAAAATATGATGATGTCTGAGAGGCTGAACACCACAGTTTGTTTTCTTAGACAATATTGGACAGCCTTCAGTCATTGTGCGTAGCATGGAGGTCAACAAATGTGAAATAAGGATATACTCCAGCACCTGTTGCACGCCAGATTTGCCCTGTGCTGCCTGTTTGCAAATCCATTCAGATGCCTGTGAGGATTTTCTGCTAATAAATCAACGTGGTCTACTAGAATGTCTAAGGGAAAGCCCTTTAATTATTGCCTGTGGGTCATTAACTTCAGCAAGAGTGACTGCCCAAGCATGGGTAAGGTAAGAGCAAGCATGATGTGGGAGTGCACCTGAGGAAGAGTTGAGTTTCTGTTCTGCATGTTTAGGAGAAAGGAGAGGACCCCCACAGTGACGTGTTGAGGTTAAGCCTAGGGAGAGAATCACCGCCTTTGCTTTGAATTACTAAATGAATTGCATTCAACACTTATTCATCACTCCAGCAGAAGCAGCTAACACAGCAGCACATACTGCTTGTGAGGAAAAAGTGGGGTAGTCTGGGTACCATGAGCACCTAAAGAACTGTGCCGATAAGGATGCAGCACAGCTAAAATTCACTGCTAAGCAGCACGGTTCATTGCACTCCAGGGAATTCCTGTGTCTAGAATCAGAGCAAGCTGTTCAATAGCCACAGACGCTGTGTTCCCTTTCCTAACCTGCTGCTGAGCTGTCACACTGTGTTGGGAAGGCATGGCTACAGCTATCAGGTAACTGCTGCTCCAGCCTTTCATTGCACTGGGATTTCCTGCAAGCTGAAAGCATCTTAGCTGAACCTCCCTTTCAGGTGGAGCACTGAACTATTTAAAGAAAGAGAGACTCTTCTCTTGACAATAGGCTATAATTTTTTCCCGGATTTGGTGCTGCTCCCACGTACATTTTCACTTGCACAAAAGCAACAGAAAATGGGAAATGTGTTCTGAATCACTACCAAGGAAATAACAAAGAATTAATGTTAACAGCAAACTGTATTTTGCATGTCATTAGACCTCACTGATATAATTAAGCTGGCTTTATTCCATAGATGCCAGCTTTGGCCTGTAATACGATGAATAGATCTCCTCTTAACGAAGTACATACAACGTACTGCTGTGCTAAGTGTGCACTTCTTGCCAGAGCCCAGGGCTATGAATGTAACGTGGTAATTACAGCTTTGGGAGAGGTAAAGTTTTGAAGAATATGTAGTATGCAAGCTATAGTTAAATAGCATGGCTCATCAGGGCTGGAGAAACAGTCCGATTCTAGTCAAAATCAGTCCACACATTGACAGTAGCTACCAGATTCTGCTCTTGTTTACACTGTTTGAAACCTCAAAGTTAACATCAGGATTTATTCTGAATTTACACTTTTGGGAGCGTGGTCCTTTGTTTTTGCAAATAAACATGGATAACGTGACTTAAGATGAATATATGTAGGGACAACTGATGGATTGTGATCTCTTCTGTTTAGACAGGGGCAGACATAATTCTGCAGTAGTAAAAGCCAGCCAGCATCTGCAATGACCAGCGAGATGCACCAAATACCTCTGCTCAGAACATCTCTTTGGGGTGAGTAGGTAGAAATCAGTGGGTCTGGTCCAGTCCCATGAGAACAGCAGCCCACACATACCCATGAGGAAGACCCAACTCTCATTTTCAATTTTGATCAAAAGGAAGGGCCTCTTCCTCAGGCACATTAAAACAGGCTAGTGCTGCGAAACCTAGGTGTTTAGTGGAAGCCTTTTTTCCATTGTAAACTTCACATGAACCATTAAGGTAACAAGAGCCTACATCAAGGGAAATGTGCTGCCCCTTGGGCCTCTGCAGGGGGGAAGAAAGAAAACAGCATTGTGCTTCTGTGCAACAATCTTTATTGGAATGATATCCAAAGGATCCAGACTTCTGTGCCTGTCCTCCCCCAAACTTACTGTGTACGCTGACGGGACACAACGAGGAACAGCTCTGGCTCAGCAAGCTGAGGCAGGCAGCCCTGAGCCCTCCACTTTACACCCAGTCCACCTTCCTGTCCCAACAGAGGGTGTGAGGTGATCATAGACCTTCTCGTAGGAGGTGATGGGAAACCCAGACATGACTGTGAGCATCATCTGCAGATGTGAGCAATGGTCCAAGCTCAGGGGAACTGGTGAGAAGGGTAAGAGTGTACAGTGGCAGCAAACTGAATGGCACACACAGAACACAGAACAGCAAGGAAAGTTGGGAAGCTGCTTCCAAGTAGAAGATTATGGTAGGTTAAACCTGGAAGGAAGGAACAGTTGGAGAGTGGTAGTGGGCCACCAACTCCTGTCACAGTCCCTGTTAGACTTGGCTGTGATGCAGTCAGGAGGATGGCATCCAAATTAGCAGCACGATGAGAGAACAGAACAAACTCTTAACACATTAATACCCAGCAAGGCAATTTGGGGAAGGGCTCATCTTCATCTTCCAGTTTTGGCAAGCCTTCAGATGCAGTATTTCCAAAAGCAGGCTGGGAAGGGATACAAGAGAATTATGTTAGCATCCAAGGGACATTTCCAGCTTCCCGCTCTAGCCCCGGAGTATGTTTCAAAAGCCCCATGTCTTGAGAGAGTTGGCGTGCGAAGCCAGCGTTGTGGTTTCTGGGGACGTCTCAATAACCAGCTTTGACTTCATACAACGCTTGTAGAAGGTGTTTCTTTTAGCTGTTTACAGTGTAAATAAGGGGCCTAAAAGTTGTTTCCTTGGTGTTTGATTTATAAGGGTTTGCTTTTCCATTTGCTCTACTTCAGCAATATCAGGAATCAGATTTTTCTTTCCTGTCTGCTGGCCAGCAGTTTTGCTACCTGAGAGGAGTGTGCATGGTTTTTCACCTGTGTCTGAGTGAAAGAGCAGGATACTGACTTGGAGAGACTAGATCTGGCCCTTACAATTTTTTTTTAAAAACCTAGTGACTCTGCTGCTAACTATCCTCCAAACAACGGCGATCTCTGTGGGGTCTTCTAAGCAGATTAAGGAAGGATGCACATTCTGGTGTTGGAAGAAAATAGCTGTATCACCAGCATGCCCTGTTTGAATCCTGTGTGGGTCTCCAATTGTCAAGTAGGAAAAGAGATTTCTACCTGGTTTTTGGAAGTAGAATCTTGGGAGAAAGCTTCTACTGAATCAGCAATGCTCAGGCTGAGACACAAGCTCCTTCCAGACTGGAAGGACTTTAGATGAAGGCAAAGATTCTCTGCTTTATTTTCTGGCAGAATCTGATTTAAACTTGGCAGGGGGAAGTAGTTTTATCTACATTTGAACATTGCAGACTGATGGGGGCATGAATTGGATTAGCAAAATTAATGACAGCCTCCAGGGTTGCTGATAAATTGCAGATTGTCTTAAGGATCACCTAAGCAAGCCTTGCACAAAGGGATTTTCTCTTGGCTGTCTGGCGGGTTGTCACCTTGCACATGCACAGAGCATGTGGGATAAAGGCAGAACTAGCTCTTTTGTTTTCAGGCCAGAACTGTCACCCGTGACTTCTTTTTTACAGCTGCCACTGCTTTGTGGAGGAATCCACTGAAAGCCAGTGTGAACAGCATCGTCCATGTGCTTGTCAGGGGCAGCCTTGCAGGAGCACTGCTACCATATGCTCTTGAGACACTGGATACAGACTGGACAAAGCTTGGACACCAGTTGGGGGACTACTGGATCTTAGTGCCCTGCATTCTTGGTTGATTTCCACATCCCATTTAGCTGCTTTTCAGCAGCACAAACAAGTGCTCCTTTTTCCTCTGTAGGGAGGCAGTGACCTTGGCAGAGGGAAATGCATGCAGTCCACATGCCTCATTATGCCTTCAGCACTAGCTTTGTGCCCAGATCAAAGCGACGGGTGCACTGCAGGGACATGTTCATACAGAACTCATCCCCTCCAGGACAGGCACTCATTGCCCATATAGCCCCACGTTCCTCTGTGAAAAGAGGGATGCAACACTGACTGCCTCCAGTGAGGTCCTGGGTGTGCAGACCCTGTACCTGCCACAACAGCAGACAGGGTTGGGTACAAAGTCCTCACCAGTGCTGAACCAGCCAGCCATTAACAAGAGGGGGCCAGGACTGCTAGAAAAGCTGCCAACCTGTTTTGCAGCATATCTGGGGCATGTTTACTGTCACTGTCTTTGTTGCAGAAAGGAAGCCCTGAAGATGAAAGCTGGACAGAATGGCTGCAGGGCTCTAACCCAAAACTTACCGCGTTTTTTGGGCTGGGATGCTGAGAGACTTTCCAAGGCGTAGGCCACCTCTGACCCTTCCTCAGCTGAGAGCTGATCCCTCAACTTCTCCAGCTGTTTAAAAACAAACATCGGTAAACAAATGCCCCATCATGAGGAGTTCTACAGTGTGCTGGCAAGCACAGGGCAACTCAGAGGCAGGAGGTACAGGCAGCCTGGCTGACAGCATCACTGGGGAGGACAGGGTCTTCCCTGGAGCAGTTCTGTTCCAGGAGAATCTGCCTTTAGAGCACTCAACCTCCTCATGTCGCCCTTTAAGCTGCTTGTTTGGTGGCAGCAGTGTAGGCCCTCTGCTGTTCCTCCCTACCCCAGGCTGTGTAGAAGGATATTGCACCACTGAGTCAAGTCAGTGCTGGGGCAGGATGTCTCCAGACATCCACCCACTGTAGCAGAGAGCATCACTTCTCCATTACTCTGAGTTGTCCCTCCTCTCCTTTCACCTTAATCCTTGCTAACTTCCCTTGTTTGTAACGTGGAAAGTCCATGGTATTTCTTCACCATCTGTAGCTACCCTTTCCTAGTAGACTGGGAAGATCTATGGCCAACATCTAGACTTCTGCTCTGGCAGTGTTGTTCCCAGGAAGCCAGAGCTTAATGTCCCTCAGCACTGGAGCGAGGGTCTAGGGTAGGAGCTGGCAGCCTCCCTTCTGGCATGATGCACTGTGATTTTTCAGGCTGATGTGAAAGGTGCCCAATGGAATCCAGCAGGACCTCCAGGATCCACAGCTGGACCTGGCTTGAGAAAGAGGAAAAAGGGTTTCCACTGCTTGCAGGGTTTGGGGCACAGCGGGAGCCCTGTCAAGGTTGCTGCATACCTTTCCCTGTTCCTGGGTGTAGTATGGGGCTTCCCCTTGCTCTGTGTGTGTGTATGGTACACTCTGCTCAGCACAGCAGGGCTCTGGCCCCACACAGTACCTCCCTTACTAGTAAAGAGATCAGACAAAAATCTTTCTGTATTAGGTGTGCAGTGGCTTTTCCTCTACTTTAGCTCGTTATCTAACGCAGCTGGCTGATACGGCGCCTAGGAAGGCAGCATGACCTCCTCTTCTCCCTCCCTTTTCTTCCATGGAGATTTCCTTTGACGTTTATTTTTTTCCTGGCTTGGCCTTTGCTGGCCTTTCACTGGTGGCAGAGGCAAGAGCTGCCTCAGCTTTTGTTGCACCAGTATAGCCTTGTTCTCTTTTTATCTTTTGCAGTTTGTGCAGCTATTTAGCCCAGGTTCTGCTCTTCTCTTTCTGTGATACATGCTTACATTATAGCAGCAGAGTGAAGAGTAGCAGGATGCAAAGATAGAACAGGGCACAAAGACATTATGCCCAGTTGCTTAGCTATTCATGCAACAGTATGCATATATGTGTTTGTGTATTTGCCCCCCTCACCTGTTCAAGCTCTTCAAATTTCTTTGCCAGCTCCCAGTCTGCAAGAAGTGAGAGAGTAACATCAGCATCATCTTCATTGCTTCCCAAAGTTCAAATCAAAAACAGTTTCTTCATTTAACCTCCTCAAGGGTTGACAAGAAAAGACCTGGTTATCATTAAATTCCTGTTAGTGATCTCCAAATCTATGGTGACAGAAACAGTGACGGAAAAGCAGGCTTTCTCTGCAGAATTCTATGGTACTTTGCCCAGGCTCTAGGGGAATTGGCCCAACAAGGTCACATGCTGTGTGATACCAACTCAGGTGAAACTCTTTGCTGTTTTGTTTGGTTTTTTTTTTACCCTGATAACAGCAAATCTCTAATGCTGGCTTTTCTGTCACTGGCCTTTCATATGAACTCCCATTGCTTCCTTTAAGACTTGTTTATCCTCACATCATGCATGCAGGCAAAAGTCAGGAGACACAGATTTAGCCTAGCATAACTCTCTGCTTTATATGTCAGCAAGCATCATAGATGACAGAGTAGCGCAACAGGAAAAGTAACATAGCAGTGAGTGCACGGATTCCACACTTCTAAATGTTATGGGGACACAGGGATCTGGGGACCAGCTTCATAGATCAGACTTAAGAGATCTCAAGGCTGAGCAGTACTGTACCAAACTGTCAAAAAACTATGCAGATGGATGAACTAACTGCCCTGAGATATCCCATCCAGGTCAAAGTTAGGTGCCTATGAACAGAATCTAAAATCTCCAGTCGAGTTGGGAAGGGCCTGTACTAGCAATAGGGAAATCTGCAGGAAGGGATGGGGAATTTCAATTTCACTGTTCTTTAGGACTGAGTACCTTATTCCAGACTCAAACTGATGTCAAAAACAGGTTTGTTTGGTTTCTTGGGTTTTTTTGTTGTTTTTTTTTTTTTTTTTTTTTTTTTTTTTTTTTTTTTAATATGATAGACAAAATAATGGAAAGAACCATGACAAAATGAGCTCAGTCAACGCTGAGTGACTGGACTACAGCAGTTCTCCTGGGAGGGGATCAGCTGGTTTTAAATGCCAGTTTGGGAAAAAGTGCACTAAAATAAGCAGAAAATCCAAGAATGAGCTAAAGAATGTTTCCAGCCAGCCCTGGAGCTGCCTCCTTTGTCTGCTCCTAACGTGGCAGCAGGCACTGGTCTGCATCTCCAAGGGGATTCAGGACATAATTACCCCTGATTTCAGATAAGACACAGATGCATCACCAGACTTGGGCTTTTATTTTTTTAAAATGTTCGAAACTGAGCAGGAGGATTCCAAGAAAGAGCTGACCGCCTTCTCAGTTTCTGCTTTGAGAAGGAAACAATTCAGCTGAAAAATCCTAAATATTTTCTGACAGATAATCATCCAACTGAAAAAGCAGCAGTTCCTAAGCAAATCCATCACATCAGGGAAAGAGATGTTTGAGAGATAGGCTGGGGATGGGCTGGGAGGTGAGGGCTCTGTTCCTGGCACTGCCAGCAGTGACCTTAGGCAGATTCTTCTTAGGTCTTTACATATCCATAAGGTAGAGACAGCCAGGTCTGCATAGCTACAGGTCAAAAGTGCCACTTAAGAGACGATGATGATGATGATGATGATGATTATAATACACATTTTTACTTCTTTCAGAGTTTCAAGTGCCTATTTGGTCTCAACTTTCCACAAAGCATAGGCTTGGCCAATGACTGCTATGAATAGAAAATGAACAGCGGTCGAAATTTGGAACAGATTATCTCAGGCAGGGGGAAGGAAGTTAATTTATGGATGAAGCCTTGAGAAACTGCCTGCTGTAAATCCTCTGTCTGTGCTCTGCTCAGAGATTCATTATATTCAATTGTCTGGCATAAAATGCAGCCTTTCCTCTAGGAGTAATAAGTGCAATAATCCATAAACCAATCATAAAAATGTTATTTCTTGAATGCATCCCCTTTGCAAGAAGAATGCCTTTGTTAGTATAAGGACTTGATTTATTTGTGTTTATGTATTTGTCCCAGGATTGTTTAACCATTGCCTCACTGCATTAACACGGGTCTGGGGAAGAACATTGAGTGGTTTTGACAAATGGATTTTCATAACAAAATTTTTGCTGGGCCCCATTCTTGGCTGTTTTCACAGGGAAGGGCAGCTTATTGCTCTGAGACTATCGCATACAGCCCAAACCCTCCCCTGGCAGTGGTGGCCATGGGAATAGCTGACCCCTGTAATCCATATGGCACTTGTGATCCCTGTGCATAATGTCAGGGAAAGCCCAAGTTTCTCTTCAGCCGGTCTGAGTTTAGCCATATGCAGGTGGCTTTAAATCTGGTGTCTGTTCACGGAGCACAGACAAGAAAAGCTCCCATGTGGCCTGTCTTTGGCCTCTTCGCTGTGTGAGAAAAGCCCATTGTCTAAACCTCTTTCAGCAGTAGCAGTGGCTTAGGCTCAGACAGGAGCTCCCACTACCTTTGTCCCAGCCTACACCTGACCTCAAGGGATCTCAGCCATATGCTCTCTGCAAAATCTTGATGCTGTCCCACTGCCCCATGTAGTAATGAGATGCTGCTGGTTTTAGCATGCCAGCAAGACACTGATCTGTCTTTCAAAAGTGCACAGTGCTGTATGGCCTGTGGGTGGAGAGGTGACTCCCAAGGCTGGCACATGCCCCAGGCACAGTACACAACCTCTTAGAGATAGCAGGGGCACAGGGACTCAGCAGCATCCCTTCTTGCTGTTTCTTATGTACACACACATGCTCCTTTGCCAGCTCAGTGTTGAGTGTCCAAAGATCTAGGGTGTGTGTTTTGGGGCAGCTTTACACTGCATTGCAAAAGCAGGTCCAGGATCCCCACAATGGAGAACATCTGACATTAATCACATGTAGGCACCATACCGGGTGCTTCCACTTTCTGAGCAGTTCGTATTTCTGAGGAACCTGAGGAGCAGGTTCCTTGTATTCATGCAAACACAGATTCATGAAGCTGAGATTTCCCATCCCCTTTGCTTACCAATATTTTCCGGTCTCCGCCATGCAAGTTTCTTGTTAAGAAGCAGAGTCAGCAGTGTGTCCTCGTGATTTGTGTCTTCTCTCTCCGGAAGCACTCGGTTCTCTGCAGCACATAAAACACACATTTCTCGATTTCTAATGACAAAAAGGATGGACCTTCCAGCACCCAACATTAAAACAAAAATTAAGAAGGCTAAGAAGTGGAAGGAAAATGTCTCCTGTCAGCACTCTGTTGGGGTGGAAGGCGCTCAGGAGAGGAAGATGTGTGAGCACAGAATAAAATGTCCAGGCAGTGAGGGCTGTGCAGTGAAGTGATTCAGGGTGGGGGAGCCCTCCCTGCCAGCCTGGGGCTGCTGGCCAGTCTCACTGCAGCCTCATCAGCATGGCTGGCTGCAGAGAGCTGGAGACATCACCTTGATTCAGACGGTCCCAACCTATTCTGCAGGGCAGGTGTAGCAGTTGCCTCTGCAAAGCCAGACAGTGACCCACGGGGTCCTCTCTTCTCAAAACTGCAGGTGTTCCCCCCACTCACCCCTTCCCAGGGCTGATAGAGGTGGGAACTTGCTCCTCATGGGGGCTGACAGTGTGGGTACCACATATGAAAAGCCCTGCAGCCCCGGAGTCTATTCTTGCACCCACTCAACCTTGAGGCTACACTATCTGTTTGCCAGTGGTATTAAAGGATTCTTCCTGAACAGAGCCAAAGTGTGAAGGATTTCAAAGTGAGCCTCTTTATCCCCAAGGAAGCCTCATACAGTAGCCATAGGCCATGCAGAATTTTTCTGTTTTCCAAGAAAAACCTCGCCAAGCTGTTGTCCTAAAGCAATTTGGACCTCTCTATGCGTCCCCTTTAGGGAGCTTTCTTTAGTGGTTTTGCTTTAGTGGTTGTGGCTATGCCCTCAAATGAATGGTTATGAAGGTCAAGGGTTCAAAAGAAACCAGCGGACACAGGGAATGGGCCTAATCAGCATCCCGATGGCTCTGAGACCCTCCCAGCTCTGCTGAGCAGATTTCCAGAATCATCTGGAACCTGAATGTTGCATTCATTTTTCAGAATGGGAGCCAGACTTTACAGGGAGAATGGCCTTTCCCCAAAATCTGTGATCTGAACACCCCTGCCCCACACCCACAACGTACAAAGCCCTAGAAGATACCTACAGAATCCATGGAAAATACTAAGAAATTATACAGAAAGGCTTGTTTTCTCTTCTTCAGGATCTTTAGGACTTCTGCTCCCTCCCTTCAAATAGGTGAGAAAGGAGAAAATGGTCTTGTATAGCCATCAGCCCTACATAATCTGTGATGGGAGGAATGCGATTATTTTTGATACACATGAGACAAAACATTGTAGCAGATGAGTCTTAAGGATGCTCAAGAGTATGTGGAAATCAGCTCCATTAGCTAAAGTCACATAAATCTGCAGAAGCAGAGGAGCCCTAGCCAAAGTGATGCTCCAAGTATTTGGCCAGACTCAACCCTGCCTCACGCTGCGGCTGAAGCCGCTGGTCCTGACTGTGGTCTCTAGAAATAAACCTGAGGGAGGCAGAGCTACACGCTGTGTAAAACTTGCAGTTAGCGTGGAGTGCTATAAACCTCGTTCCTAAGTCTGAAAGACAGCTATGATTTTAAAATAGCTACTTTTAGTAATTTGGGGGATTTGCTACAGGAAAAAAAACTATAAACACTCTAGTAAAAACTAAACAGAAGCAGTATTTAGATAGAGTGGCCTCAGGAATGTTTTGGTTATCATTACAAAAATAAATACGTGATATAAGAGGAAAAATCTTTCGAAAAGCAATGTTATTTTCAAGCCTATATTTAGCTGCTCTTTTTTTTTTCCACTGCCAAGTCTCTTTGAGAAAGAAGATTAATGATTGACATTTCCCTGCAGAGTAAGTTCAAGCTAAGATTAATTTAAATTATGGGAGAAGAACATATAAAAAGGAGTTTTGTGAATAAAAAAGTTCGGCAGCACCCTACTACTGACATTTATGAGCTGTCAAATCTCATATGGTACATACTGGAATTGCTACTCTCTGATATTTTAATGTTTTTCTTTGGAAATTTTCTTCTGGGAGAGAAAGAGATACCCTTACCAGATTTCACCAGTTCTGCTATTTTTACTGATTAGTAGAATGTCTCATGCGACCAGCTGCAGACCAGAAGGATCGCTTTAGCTCATGCTAATATGAACTGGGTAGCACCCATGTTAATTGTTTAGTATAGCTCAAGGTTCATTTTATTTTCTTTCACAGATAAGCGAGTGTTGCATTGGTCATGACAAGCAGCAAAGCAAAGCAAAAAGATAACCACCTACCTGTGTCATCTAGTCTGGATTCCAGCTTACCTTGTAGTAAAAAAGGTTCTCCATGTGTAGATGGGATGTACAGAGTCATGGTCAAGATGGTTAGCACTCCAAGGGACAGCTGGACAGACCACATCTTCTCCACGTTCCCACCACCCAAAAGCATTCTTCCTTCAGGCACGGTGGAGGACTTCAATGCAACCCAGTGCCAGATGAGCTCACTTTTAAGAGGCAGTGGATGTGCCGTGATTGCAAATGGCCTTTGGAGGAGGGGAGAAAAATATCTCTTGAGATATAATTCAACCTGTCAATATGATTCACTCCTTTGGGAGTGGACAGAACAACCCAGTAACAGATGTCAGATGGAACTTGTTCAATATATCTCATATCAGACTGATCTAATGAATTCTGATGTTCCCACAGGCATGCACTGTCTACGCACTTTGATATACATTACATACGTACATACATTAAAAATATTTTTTCGGGGCTGCTGCTTTAATGGAGTTCAGACATGAGGACACCCACATTAGCAAAGAAGATTTGTCTAACATACAAGTTGCTGTACGTCACCAGTTTGGACAGAATCAGGTTAATGGGTTTTTGTAATTTATCATCTTACTTCCTACTGCCTATATTAATTAATGTGAGATATAATGAGTGCTGAAGTGGTGGGAAACAGAGGGGGAGAGCTCTTTTCATTTAACTGATTGGAGGATGTTGAGTGTGTCAGGCTCACCGTGACTTACGGCTTTGTCAACGGGAAAGGCATCACACCCTATTTTGGGATTATGTCTGAGTGGGGGAGTGCAGATTTGGCAGCAGATATGGAATACATCAAGGATGGGCAACTGTCTTGCGTTTTTTCTTGGGGGAAAAAAAAGAAGTGGAAGGTCAGATGCTGGTTCTGGCTCCACAGACGTATTTTATTAGCTTAGAGAAAAGTATTGAGGCACATTGCACATATTCCATGTCTTCTCAGGTCATTACTACATCTTGGTTTGGGTTCTATTTGTTGCCTGTCCATCACTACTGATCAGGGACCTGCTACTCGTTTTTTATTACAACCTTACCAAGAAAAATGTTGTAATAGTAACAGGGCTAAACTTTGTTCTTCTCTTCTGCTTCTTCTGCAGAACTGAATCATCTGTACTACACTTTGTCCAAACTCTGACTTGTACGTATACTCCTAGTGACTCACTTCATGTGCTTTTTTGACACCACATCATGGCAGACTACCCAACATAGCTTCATCTGATGGTACCTGCACTTCATCTTAACTAAAAGACAGCATCATTTCCATGTTTGGGCTTTTGTCTTCTGGTCCCCACCTCTCCCTACAACTTGCTGTGGACCTTGGATAGCTATACAGTGTCTAGCATTTTAATATCCCTTTTAATATTTATTTTTTACTAAAAAATAGAGTGGGAGAGGGTCAGATCATTTGCAAGAAGTGTCTATCAAAATGAACGTGATGCTTCCATTAAGGAATACTTCTCTACTGAGGAAATATTCCAAAATTTTCCCTGCAGGTATAATATTTACAAGTAAATCAAACTTGTATTTTCCCTCAGTCTTGTGAATCAGTGGTCAACCAGCTGAAGTACTCCCATTCTTCACAAAGTTCTGGTTGGACTGAAGGACACCTATGGCCTACCGGGAATAGTTTTCTAGCTGCCTCTGTCTCCCTAAGCCGCCTGTTTCAAACTGGTCAGAGGTGAACAGCCCCCATGAATCAGAGGCCATAACTTGATGGGTACCACCTTGTACAGGAGTCCAGTAGTAGATTTGACTCAAAACTGTATTCTTAAGAGAATGTCAGGTCTGTTTTTACTTGGTATTAAATGGCTTTCCAGGTCCCTACCTGTCTTGAGATCTGCTGTGAAATTCAATTTGCTTTCATGTAGAAGATGGGTTTCACCATCTCATCTAAGTTTATATACAATCCACAGATCTCTGACTGTGTTCTCCTACCCTTGGCTATAAGATACACATCATGGGCTATTGGCAGACTCTTTCAGGAAGATGAGCTATTCCCTGGGATTTCCTCTTTCACTGTGGAGAATCTTCAGTTCTGGGCAACTGCAACTGTTCAGCCCCTAAAGCAATTCATGTGTAGACTGAGCCAGTCCTTTCATGTGAGAGCCCTGGTGAAGGTGAGGGACTACCGTTCTACATTTACATACTAGAAGGGAGATTACTGGATGCTGTGAGTGGTGAATGCTCTCAGCAGGTGGGTGGGTGGATAGATGCCCGACAGCCACTGCCAGATGCTAGTGGACTTTTTGCATTTGTCGCAGTTATGAGATGGTTGATTTGCAGTGTTGGACTTCTGTAAGACTCTCACCTGGAAAATTCCTTTGCTTTTAGCCCAGGAGCTGGAAATACTATTACATTTTAGTGTTCTTATGTATTTTATTCTCAATAGCAAAACAACACAGTCTGCATATTCTCCCTATTACTTCACTCATTGATAATGTCTTCTACATCATCCACTGAGCACTTCTGTCTGGAGCTCAAACATAGTGAGAACATGAAGATATGAGCTCCATCTGTACCTCCCATGGTCCTAGTCTGCCTAAGCCCCTTCATGTAGAAGTTTCTATTTTCATAAAGCTATGCAGACTTCAGGTAATCAAACACAATCAAACTGGAAAATTGACAAGGATGGACAAAGCCAACCAGTCCAGAGGGCAGGAATGGAGAACACTTGGCCAGGAAGATGCCACTAAACTCAGATGCACCAGCTCTGAGTGTGAGAGAGATGAGTACATGTGTCAGGGTGCTGGGGGTGCTAACAGTCCTGAGCAACTTCAGCTGGGGCCTCCACTGCCCTCTGCCCATAGGCTGAGGAGGCCCATTTAAGCTCAACCCTGGGCTCCTTCTGGTTTTGCCTGGGTTATGGTGGACAAATGCTGCTCTGCAGCTCAGCTGTGGCTTTGCTTCACCAAGGCCCTTACAGAGCTGGACCCAGACCTGTAGGCTGACTTCCCTGTTTGACCTCAGACGTGTTCCATCAGTGTGGACCTGTCTGCTGTTCACTGGGCTGTGTTTGACCCTGGTCGCTATTATCAGGACTGATTCTGACTAGTGGATTGACTTCTACCTTGAGCCTGGTTCTACCTCATCATCATGGGCTTCCTTGTCCACTGGGGGTCTTGACTGAATCTGGCTGCTGTCTCTGGGACTGCCCTTCTAGCACCTCTTGGGATGGGTCCCTGTCCTGCTGGCATCACTGTACTTGGCTCCCTCTTCCCTAGGAAGCAGCTGGACCTTGCTGCTGTTGGACATTGCTGTCCTTGAAATGTTCAGACTTTCTGTGCATAGACTCTTCTGCTAGGTAGGCTAGCATATTGTGAAGCAGTGAAGGCTTTCAGGTATGTTACATAAAATCCCAGTTTCTCTGAAGTCACTTTCCTGTTAGCTCTAATGAAGCTAGGGCTGCCTCTAGAAGAGATGCAGTCCCCAAATAACCTAACCTGAGTTTAATTCCAAAGCAGTAAACCTTACTATTTCAGTGTAAGCCTTAGACAAGAGGAATCTAGTGTGGGTTTTGAGTGACTTGTAAGATGCAGGAGGCAGTATTGAGCTGCTGAAAGCGGAACATGAAAGGACTACTTTCCAGAGCCAGCTTGGAGTGGCAGGTTTCCAGACCACTTTGTATGCTATACATTTGGGGTTTGGAGAGAGAAGATGTTCTTTTCGTTTCATGTGTTCTCAGGAAACTGTGGAAAACATTGTATACATCAAGTATTTCAGGTGAACCTCAACAGCATCCACAGGCTTTCCCATGGTCTTATGGTCTCCACTTAACCATAGTTTGCTTACTTTGGGACCAAGCAATCTACTGTGGAAAGACCTGTCAGGGAAGAGCCTTAAACTTAAGTTGGGAGAAAGGGCTTATGAACTGTCCCCCAACCTCTTCATCAAGGATGGGTCTTGGCTGCAACTAGGTAGTCTCAGCTGATAGTTACAGGATTTTATACTGTGTGGTACATATAGGGAGACTCATGTATCACTGTTTTCTTGCCTAGAGTGTTTCTAAGAATAAGGTGAAGGTGGGGAATGACAAACAAATTTGGGAATGCAGAGGAGACACACCTTGTAGAGGGAAAGTCAGGACTGGGTCTTGATAGCCCCAACAAAGCAGGGAGAAGTTGGTGAGCTTTTAGCAGGCAAGAAAGGGGAGCTGTCCTCAAGTGAGCTTCATACAATGTCAGAAAGGCAGGAGTCATCTTGCTCTCCATCCTGGGTAGTGACTTACAGTGTACCCCCTGTCCCACCATGTGCCTCTATCAAATCTGTCTATTCACATGACCAACAAACTGTTTCCATCTTCTGTAGCCAAGACTTTTCTCTCTTCCATAGTGTCTGCCTTTCTTGCCATATCACTACTGTAGACCTGACACCATTTGTCTCTTCTGTCTATGTTCCTATCGCATCTGTCTCTTCCTCTGTGTCTCCAGCTGTGCTTCACCTGGTAGGAATCAGAGTAGAAGGTACTGGAAAACATCCTGTCCTCTTCAGCCTTCACACCTCACACATTTAATATCTGATTTCTCCTGTCTGTGTCATTTCTACCCTGGGGCGAACCTGAGAAAACAAAACCCACTCCAGTCATGTTATTTAAAGCACCACTGGAAGGCGCTCAGATACTCTGCTGATGTGTGGTGCAAAGTCCCCAACAGAGCAGCTTGACTGCGGAAAGGAATTAAAATATTGTGCACATAAGCCAGGAGAGCAACCCCCCTTGCGTCTCCCTGAGAGGAGGGAGTGTATAACGGGGAGGGAGATGTAGTTATAAAATGAGATTCTCTGTTCCTTAGAGGACTGTTAAAACCAGTCAATATTTATGAAGCTTTTAGTCTGACTCATGCAATTTGTTCCCTCTTCTACGTGTTTGTCTTGGGGACTCAGCTGTTGCTTGGCCTGTTACTGCCATAAAATTAGATGCTATGGTTTAACTGTATCCTTGCTTAGAGAAAGAAAAGGGAAAGGTCCGAGGCAGACTGTAAAGCACCTCAAGTTACCACCTCACTGCAAGCAATGAAGGGAGCACACAGAGGGAAGCATCACCAGATGGGCATCACACTAGAGAGAAGCAGTTCCTCGTGGTTAAGGCAGCAGAGGGTAAGAAGTGCATCTGGGCTGCCTGCCTGGCTTTCACATCCACTCTGGGGGCTGTCAGGAAGCCATTCGACTTCTCAGAGAACAAGTCAGCTCCAAGGAGGATTCCTGGAGTGAGGGGCTGAAAGAGTAATGCAGGAATGTGAAAGCATTGGATGTGGGAGGAGGCAGCCCATGGAGACAAAGCAGGGAGCAGAGGCAGTTGTGGTACCATTCTCACCTCTGCCTCTTAATCCTGAGTTGGAGCACCTCCTCCAGACTCAGTCTCCATCCTTTTTGACTGGGGTTACTTGAAGGCAATATAGAAACCTTTTCTGCTTTGAAATGTGCTGTGACGTGCTGGTCTCAAAGTAA